CCTTTGGAGGTCCCTTCTGGCCTGGGCAATTCTATGATTCTATGCTGTGTTGATTTTTGAGGGAAGAAATGTGGCTGGGGAAGCAGAGAGGTTACCATAACCCTGTCCCTGCGCAGCACTCCGAACGGCGCGAAGGTTGAAGGAGGGAGCTCAAAGATCCACGGTGAGCACAGGGAAAACCTTATTTGGAAATGCAGAGATTTAAAGACAGGGAAAGGATAAGGATGGGAACAAAACGCACAGAATCCCAGCCTTTCAATTCGACCACCTGAAAAGGCCCTTTTTCAGAAAAAAAGGAGAGGGGCTTAAAGCTGTCCTCTCTTTAAAAGATTTCGTAAAGTAGTTCTTCTGAAGGGGAGAGGAGAGGTGCTGGGGGATGGAACTGGGGGTCAGGGGACACAGGTACCACCCTGCCATGGGCAAGAGCAGCAGAAAGAAGTCACTTTTAGTCTGGGACATCTTCTGGCTGATCCCATTCAACCCCTTTTTTTCATGACTAAGTGCGCATCACTCGAAAAACAGCGATAGGGGAGAGCTCAGGGCAGCTTTTTGGAAAGAAGAGCCCAAAGCAGACAACTGGTCTCCTTCAACCCTCACACTGGGGTCTTGTAGGGGCTTCCTATCTGGAGAGCAGACGTGCTCATGGAGGCTGGGAAATGAGGAGGGAGAAGAGGTGGCCAACTCCGTGTTGTATATCGAGCCTGCTGCCATGAGTTTCTCATCCTTTACTTCCAAAATGCTTCTTACCCAGCTTTGCCAGGTGCTTCGCAGCAGGGAAGAAGGTCCTTTGTCTTAATATTGCCCAGGAGCCATTTTTGGGGAGAAAAAAAAATGCAGAAGTATTTCGAGCCTGCTGCCATGAGTTTCTCATCCTTTACTTCCAAAATGCTTCTTACCCAGCTTTACCAGGTGCTTCGCAGCAGGGAAGAAGGTGCTTTGTGAACACAGGGTCTTAATATTGCCCAGGAGCCATTTTTGGGGAGAAAAAAAAATGCAGAAGATAAAATTTTAAAGGATCTCACAAACACACACACGCACACAAAAATAATAATAAAAAAGCAGGAGAAAACTGCCGGACTAAACAAGGAAATGAATTCCCCTAATTACCACAAGATGCTCCCCAAGTCTGACAGTATCTCTTGGAGCAGATGTGTTCAAATAATATTTCCTCAGCCTCCAGCCTTGCGTGGGCAGATTCCAGCACCAGCCACTAATGTTAAAAAGTACCTAATGAGCATCGACGTTCAGAAACCGCCTTGGCTTTGGGTGTCTGCATTTTTTTCCCATCCTTCAGGCCAAGTGGCAAACATTTTGTTGGTATTATTCACATCAGAAAGTGCTTTTTTTTAAAAAAAAAAACAAAAAACCCAACCCAAACCACTAAAATCTGGATCCATGAAAGCAATTGCTAGAAAGGAAGGACTGGAGCCCTTGAAGTTTTTCTTGAAGCAGAGTTAAGTGCAAAGGGGCAGGTCTGAGGTTTTTCCAGCAGTGACAGCAAAGGCTGCCTGCCTTGCTCAGCCGTTATTTAGGGATGAAGGATTATACACACGCTCACACGTAGATCCCAGGCAGGTTTCTCTCCCTCATTTTCCACGTGATTGGCCGTACTGGAAACGCTGCACAGCTCCTTGGAGCTCTGTCTTCCCCCCCATCCACAGGCGAGCCTGCAGCTGCAGAAACGCGGCGGAGAAAACCATGCCAAGTTTTTTCCCCCCTCTCTGCTTCCCTTGCTGTCCAAAGATCTCAGAGATTTTGTAGCAAGGACAAACGGGCTGAATTCTGCCATCCCTTGCCCCCCACCCCCTGCAGTGTTCTATAGCTCCTCCACAAATGTTTAAGTGGAGATCATGAAAAGATCTTTTAAAGAACGACTTCACAAGAGTCTTATTTCCATTTCCTTCTCCCCTCTCTCCTTCTCTTCTCAGTAATCCACGTTTACGCTCCAAAACGACTGCTTTAATTAGACAATGATTGCTTTAAACGGGAAAAAAAAAAAATAAATGTACTGGAATGAGGGGGGCTCTGGGAAAATCAGCTAGATGGCCTTTGGAGGTCCCTTCTGGCCTGGGCAATTCTATGATTCTATGCTGTGTTGATTTTTGAGGGAAGAAATGTGGCTGGGGAAGCAGAGAGGTTACCATAACCCTGTCCCTGCGCAGCACTCCCTGGCCTGGGCAATTCTATGATTCTATCATTCTATGATTCATAACCCTGTCCCTGTGCAGCGCTCTGAACGGCGCGAAGGTTGAAGGAGGGAGCTCAGAGATCCACGGTGAGCACAGGGAAAACCTTATTTGGAAATGCAGAGATTTAAAGACAGGGAAAGGATAAGGATGGGAACAAAACGCACAGAATCCCAGCCTTTCAATTCGACCACCTGAAAAGGCCCTTTTTCAGAGAAAAAGGAGAGGGGCTTAAAGCTGTCCTCTCTTTAAAAGATTTCGTAAAGTAGTTCTTCTGAAGGGGAGAGGAGAGGTGCTGGGGGATGGAATTGGGGGTCAGGGGAACACAGGTACCACCCTGCCATGGGCAAGAGCAGCAGAAAGAAGTCACTTTTAGTCTGGGACATCTTCTGGCTGATCCCATTCAACCCCTTTTTTTCATGACTAAGTGCGCATCACTCGAAAAACAGCGATAGGGGAGAGCTCAGGGCAGCTTTTTGGAAAGAAGAGCCCAAAGCAGACAACTGGTCTCCTTCAACCCTCACACTGGGGTCTTGTAGGGGCTTCCTATCTGGAGAGCAGACGTGCTCATGGAGGCTGGGAAATGAGGAGGGAGAAGAGGTGGCCAACTCTGTGTTGTATTTCGAGCCTGCTGCCATGAGTTTCTCATCCTTTACTTCCAAAATGCTTCTTACCCAGCTTTACCAGGTGCTTCGCAGCAGGGAAGAAGGTGCTTTGTGAACACAGGGTCTTAATATTGCCCAGGAGCCATTTTTGGGGAGAAAAAAAAATGCAGAAGATAAAATTTTAAAGGATCTCACAAACACACACACGCACACAAAAATAATAATAAAAAAGCAGGAGAAAACTGCCGGACTAAACAAGGAAATGAATTCCCCTAATTACCACAAGATGCTCCC